TCCCTCTGCGAGAGCACGTGCTAAAACATGAATGCATGTTCATGTACTTCTATGTGTATGTGTGGGAACCTCTTTAAAGTCATCAAGTGACATCCAGATTGTTGCCTGGCAACACCTTATGGCTGATGTGCCAGCTTGATTGCGATCTTCGCAGACTCCTTTTTTATATCGTTGGTGAAGAATGAACGTTTATTCAATTTTTTTCAATCACAACAGTTACAACGTCCAACAGTGTCAGATGTAATTTCTGCTGAAGATGGTTCAATCAGACAAAAATACCCGGTACACAGGTAACAGTACACACACCCATCATTCACCCACACGCGCACATCGGTGTTGCCTACCTTATGTGGACATTCCTTTGTTTTCCTGAGGTTAACAAAACTCGGTGAAAATACTCATTTTCCTTGAATTGTGCACATCATTTCAAGCTAGAATTTTTAGGATGATTTCCGCTTCATTTTGTGGTGGATAACCCTGATCCCAAAATGTCTCTAAAGGTGTTTCTGAGAAAGAGGGTAACCCTGTGTGGACCCTGCTTAGTCCACACAAGGTTCATACAACCTGCATTATGTGGTGCTGTTTCGTTCACAGTCCACACTGTACTTTAAAGGCTCAAACATGCGGTACAAGACATTACACATGATGTAATCTAAGGGGTTCCCATCTGTCTTTGTGAGCAAGACAGATTACTCAAACTGTTGTCTTTCGTTCAGCACAAGTCTTCTCACTCTGTTGATGAATTTAAACTGTACAGGAAACAACTTCAAGTGCGAAACAAAGACATCACACTCCCAAACTCCCAAGTGCAGTGCAGTTGACAGTCTGTGTTTTGGTGAGGATAATTAGCAGTCATCCCACCGGTAAATGTGCGTTTTAATGCAGAATAAAGGGTGCCACTTTGTTTTAATTTGGTGTGCAATATTAGAAGAGAGGTACATTTACTGTCATCTTATTCCCCTTCACAAAAGTGTTAAAAGAAATTATAGATATGCAAAGATATGCAAAAATGCATTAGAAATTGTGTATACATGTAGGGTATTAAGCCCTTTTAATCCTCACCTTTCACTAATTTTTTTATTTATTCACATGTATTTACCACAGGGTTGATCATCCTTGCAGCCCCGAGGCTAAGAAATGACAGACACTACAACGTGGTCAAGGCTTATGCACATTAAGGAACTTTAAGGGTAGCCACAAATGTCATGAATGTACCAGTATGTAGAGTACATTAGGGCTGTGCCAAATATCTGAATATTCTATCATTATCGAATATTCAAATATTATTTTCCGAATTTGAATATTCGAATGCAAAAATCATGAAAGGGAATGGGATATTTTCTTTGTTTTAATTGAGAAGAATTGCACTATGAAATGAAAAGCGATAGAAATCGTTCAAAGATTTAAAAAGTAAATTATTAAATAAACACTTTAAAAGAAATAGAAATATCTAACTGGGTAAGAAGTATTGTTCATCTGTTAAATCTTGCTAAATCAAGGCTGGAGATACTCCTAGACGTGAGAAGCTATTATTTTGATTATAATGTATAATTGTGTGCAAGCATTGCAACTGATTTTGTGTATGGTTTGTTCATCAACAATCTGCAGGTTGGTACGACCAAATATTCAGATATTCGATCGAATTGAAGGTTGAATATTGGACTAGTGAATAATTCAAATTGACTCAGCCCTAGAGTGCATGTACATGCACATTGCAAGTGACAGTTGACCTGGGAATGGGAAATTCTCTTCACACTTTTTCACTTCCCAGGAGTGCAGTTTTTATTTCATAGTTTTCACTTTTTCTCAAAGTGGGAAAAGATTTCCACAGATTTTCCCACAAGTGGGGAAAGACTTTTCTGATTTTCAAAAAAATGGGAAAAATTCTCAAAGGTTTTATAGTTGAAAACGAATCCCAAAGTGGGAAAAGATTTCCACAGGTGGGAAAAGAATTGTCACAGATTTTCACAAAGTGGGAGAAGAATTGTCATTGATTTTCATACAGGCGGTAAAAAAACTGTCATTGATTTTCATGGCTTTGGAAAAAGAATTGTCATAGAAATTCATGCAAGTGCGCAAAGAACTGTCATCAATTTTCATACAGTTGGAAAAAGAATTGTCATAGATATTCATGCAAGTGGGAAACGAACTCTCACAGATTTTCCCACAAGTGCGAAAACAACTGACTTTCAAAGATTTTCCATAGTGGGAAAAGATTTTCACAGATCTTCCGACAAGAAAGAAAAGATTCTAACAAACTGTTCCAGAAGTGGGAAAAGAAATGTCAGATTTACGAAGTGGGAAAAGAATAAATTATCAATTTTTATACAGGTGAACAATAAATTGTCACAGATTTTCACACGGTGGGAAAAGAATTGTCAAAGACTTATACAAAGTGTAAAAAGAACTGTCACAGATATTCACATAAGTGGGAAAGGAATTGTCATAGATATTCACACAGTGGGGAAAGAACTGTCATATGTAGAAGTGGGAAAAGAATAGATTTTTACAGATTTTCCATAGTGGTAAAAGATTTCATGGATTTTCTGACAAGAAGTAAAGATTTTCACAGACTTTCCCACAAAGGTGAGAAAAGAATTGTCATAGATTTTCACAAAGGTGGGAAAAGAGTCATCAGACTTGCACACAAGTGGGGACAGAATTATCATAGATTTTCACACAAGGATTTTCTGACAAGGGTAAAGACTTCCACAGACTTTCCCAAAAGTGGGAAAAGAATTGTCATAGATTTTCACAAAGCAGGCAAAGAATTGTCATAGATTTTCTTACAAGTGGGAAAAGAATAGTCATAGATTTTCTTACAAGTGGGAAAAGAATAGTCATAGATTTTTTTAAAAAGTGGGAAAAGAATTGTCATAGATTTTCACACAAGCGGGAAAAGAACTGTCATCGATTTTCATACAGGTGGGAAAGAATTGTCAGGAAATTTCACAGAGGTGGAAAAAGAATTATCATAGATATTCAGATAAGTGGGCAAAGCACTGCCATAGATTTCCCCGAAAGTGTAAAAACAATTGAGTTTCACAGATTTTCCACAGAGGGAAAAGATTTACACAGATTTTTGGACAAGAAGGAAAAAAGTCCCAGACTTTAACAGGTGGGAAAAGACTTGTCACAGATTTCACACAGGTGGGAAAAGAATTGTCTTAGCTTTTCATACAGGTGGGGAAAGATTTGTCATAGATTTTTCACACAGGTGATGAAACAACTAGTTAGTAAAGAATTGTCATAATACATGTAGATATTTACACAGTAGGGAAAGAACTGTCATAGATATTTTTACAAGGGGGAAAAGAGTTGATTTTCACAGATTCTTCATAGTGGGAAAAGATTTTCACAGATTTTCTGATGAATGAAAAGAATTCACAGACCTTTTCACATGTGAGAAAAGAATCATCAAAGATTTTCACATACACAGGAAAGAATTATAAATTTTCACAAAGGTGAGAAAAGAATTGTCATAGATTTTCACACAGGTGGGGACAGAATTGTCAGATTTTCACACAAGTTGGAAATTGTTTCATGTATTGTGAAATTTGAGAGTGAATGTGCAGGTGAATTCTCTTTACAAAATTCCCCACTCCAACTTACATTGTTAACATTCAAATGCAATGTACGGTATCTGGCAATAGAGCATGGCCAGAGATCGATAGGTTGATTTTGTGTGGGGGACTGGTGAACACAGAAAAAACCCTAGCAGCACAGGAGAAAAATCAACCACCATCTCCACTAACATGTACACTGTACATACAAACCCGTACAGTGTACATGTAACAGGGAACATGTACACATGGCCCAGGCAGGGAATCGAGCTGAGGCCCCAGTGGTGACAAGAAAGTGGTTAATTTAATATACAATGTACATGTATCCACCTGTGCCATGCCTGAATGAGGGCTGAATCCCTTCAAAGTGTTAATACATGTACATGTACATGTACATGCGACACACCAATACCAGTATCCATGTGGCAAAAAGCGGTTGAACAGAGGCTCTAAGCAAAATAACACCACAAGGGGTTGGGGTTAAGAACTTGATCCCATGAGATTAGCTTCCCCCCTGATTGGATGAAAATTTTATTAAAGGTTAACAAGCCATGTCATCTGGACTGGGGTGATGGGCATGCCTGGATGATGATGACTATTCTATGTGGTGCTGTTCAAATGATGACAATTCCAGGAGGTTCATGGGGGAGGGGGGGTTCATGCTGAAGGCATCCACTGCCAACTGTGTAGTTGCACTTACCAGTACATACATGTACAAATGTATCAGCTGACTGTAACATGTACATGTATATATACACCAACTCCCTTGGTTTTCTTCTTTGGCATTTGACATTCATGTATCTGTATACCGGTGTACATGTATGTACATGGTTAATTTAAAACAAGCAGGTATGGCCTCTTCCTTAATTCTTTGCTCAAGCTACCGGTGCAAGTGAATGGAAGACAGGGGTATTATCAAAAGCATTTAAAATCAAAATACACTTACATTTAACGATCACTATTCTGATGTGGGCCATGATGTTTTAATGCTGGATAGACTCATGGCATACCAGGCATTGCTTTAACTTAGCACATGTACAGTACATTACACCTGAAAGTTAATACTGTGAATTGGAGTGGGACACTCATACATGTATTTCGCAAGGTGTGAAAATCTTTTCCCACTTGTGGGAAATCACTTTGGGAAAAGTTTTTCTTGGAATAGAAACAGTGTGAGGAGAAGAATTAAGAAATTTGTTGAAAAGCTACCCGCACTTTTCCAAATATCATCTATACGAAATTTTTGAACCCAGCACATGCAGTGCCAATATGCCTTTGCACACAATGCCAGTGGTCAAACATACATGTAATTATGTGGTTGCTATGGTTATACAGGTAATTGTACATGTACTTTCGTTGTTATGGGTATTGTTCTTTTGGTCATCAAAATACCATGGCGGTTGCCATGTGAGTACTAATAGTAACTTGAACACTGACCGCATAGTTCATGCTGACCGGCCTGGGCCTCACGTAGTCATCTTTACTTCGCGTCCTCTCCAGCTCCACAAGCAGGTCATCGTTGGGGCCCAACATCCCTTCGTTGGCTGAGCAGAACCGGCGGATAGTCGGATGCACCTCTAGCCTGTCGGTGGGCTCGGCGTCGGAACAGCCCTGGACCAGGATTGCGATGGAGTCTGGAGAGAGCGGGAGTCGAGAGTCCTCAGGGGGAGACAGTGTGCCATTCTAGAAAGGAGGGTAAAGTAAGACACAAAATGTGATTCAGGACGATAAAACTACAAGGTCTGTACCAATGTGTCATTCTGGGACAAACCCCTCCGTCAACTCGTAATTTATGAAACACTAACACAAACTCTTCGAAACACTCCAAATACACAAATAGAGCTCCTTTATCACATAATGAGAGATAAACAGAGCACACTACATTTAAAAGGCAAAGCGTGTTCCACAGAATGAGTTTATGTTAATATTTTCCTGTAAGAGCAAGCCAAAGTATGACAATTTCGAGAATTACATACACACTTAATAGACTAGGCAGGCTGAAATTATTGGCAAAAAAATAAGCTTGCTTTATGCATCTCCAATGTAGGTCAGAATTCATTTACTGTAAAATGCCACAGTGATGGTTACCACGGCATCAAACATGTTCATTATCAGGACGGTGATCACGGCTTTAACTAGTGACATTGCCAGATCATGCATACATGTAAACGTAGGTTGCCTATCCAAGCAATGATGACATCATCCTATTCTTGTATGATTGGGAAAAGTTTCGGCGATTTCCATTCTAGAAAGCTATTCTGGACAAACCACAAAAAAATCATGCAATTTCCATGAGGAAATTGAGAAAAAATTTTATACGCACAAAAAGTAAATTTAACAAAACTCCAATATTTCACAATATGTTTTTTTGTCAGCTGAACTCCCACACAAGTGCCTGTGTGGTACAAAATCTAACAATGCCAAGAAAGTTTTGGTCAAGAACTCGCAGAAATGCACTTTCAAACAGCAAGGGTGGAAGAAATGTTGGTAGTGGATGTTGGGTAACACATGCAGTGTAAATCTGGGGAATCATTGTTATTTGTGTTGAAGAACTGGGCTGATGAAGAGATGACGGCCATCCTAGAACTGTGATCTAAAAGACACTGAAAAATGGCGCAATGGTTATTTGATCGAGAGACACACATGTAATCTAGCCATGTCGCTAGATTTGGCTTGGATCCCAAACCTGATTACGGCATGCTGCAATTCATGCATGGCACTTCAAAACAGGTCAATATACATGTAGGCTTGTTTTCTGTCCTCCCTTTCCAACATTCAACCAATGAATGTTTGCCCAGGAACTATGACAGGGGACCCAGGTGGCCATACATCACAAATGAGCATGTTACCTTGTCAAAATGCTCTCAAGATTTGAAATTTATTTATTTAGACACCTGGGTCCTTTACTTTTTCTTCATTTCATGGAGTTGGGATGGCACTGGTAAAGATCTTAATGATCAAGGAAAACATTTAGGGCGCTCAATATATAATTAGAAAATTATAATTTAATCCCGGTATAATAAGAACAAAGTTGTGGCTTGGGAACCTCCCTGCTGGTATTTAGCCCTGGCATATTTCTGAGCAGTGCACCATTTACAATGTACATGTACATGTACTTGTACATATGGTATAGCATGTGGACTTCACTAATTTGAGTAGATGGTCCATATTGTACACTGTATGTGCCCTGTGCAAATTTTGATACAGGATATATAATTTTCTAACTTCCAGCAGTTCACACACAGTGAAATACAATTGAAGGAGGTTTATTTGACTGTGACAACATATTACAGCGTAATTTCTTCTGCCCAACCTACAAACCAGAGAATAAAATACAATACAATGTTGTACATGTACATATACTTTTTACTATCATAAGGGTACATTGCAAAGCACAAGAACAAGTACATGTACATTAAAGTTGAACCCATTACATAATACATGTACATATTCTTCATTCTCAATAGGCCCTTTTAATACCAAGTGCCTTGTTGTTCACTCCTCACACTGCCTGTGACTTCCATGGACAGTTATCCCTCTTATTTTGCCACTACTGATAATTTACAATACACACATAATTCTGGCAAGAAAAGCAGTTCACTACATGTACATGTGTAGCCCTCAGGGAACATTGAAAGGCCTTGCTTCATGGACACTTGTGTGAGTGCTAATTTGAATTTTCATAGAACCATTTCCAAGCACACAGGTGCACTATGTAACCATATTTAGTTGCAAATATTTCTCCCGTCCAGAAAAATGTATTTTTACAACCGAGCCTTGGTCCCTTCTAAAGCATACACACACAGAGCTTTAACTTATGCAAAACAGTACTGAAAATACATGTGATGTCTTTCATAGAAATTCATCACTGGCTACGACTGTGTGGAGTAAGCTAAATGGAGTTCTTCCATCTTTTTTCCTTTTTTTAAATAAAGTACCTGTATGGAAATGTAACCACTGAACATACAAGTTCATGCATATAAAACCTGCATGCATAGCATTTGGTACCAGGATTACATGCTGTTAGGTTTGCAGTATGAGAGAGTAATAAGACATGCATGAGCCAGTTGGGTATTCCAACAGCGCATGCGCAGTGTGACGCTATTCGGGAACATGTTCGCGAGCGTGATAGCCTATCTGTGCAGCCATAAGCTGACTCATCACGTGCCGCTCTGTTCCGAAAAGACCTCGGCTGTTTGAAACATTGAACTGGCCCATTATACAATGTATACCTGTTCCCTTCACTGCAATGTTTCCCAAGTGTTGAAGATTTTTGGATGAAGAATCTCTTCACACTGACAGATATTCTTGTGTTATCATTTGTTTCATTTCTTTTGTACTACACGTACTGGTACATTTTAATGCTTCCATACAACACTGTACCATACGTGCATCAATAAAGTTGTTTTCACTCATACGCTGTCCTGCAAGTCTTCCAAACAACACTGTCGTACAGGCTTGGCCCTTCCTGTCCAACCTATCTCTCGTCAGCCAAATTTAGCATTGACAGCAAGTATGTTAGAATGAATCCTTCTGGAAAAACCCTGTCTCTCAGGACACCAATGCCCCTCATTAGCAACAATTGCTCAGAAACAGTAAACTGCAATGAGAAGCAAAAGTGTGACAAGTCCATTAATCTGCATTTGACCATACATGGATGGTGACCATCCTGGGTGAGAATGAAGGAAGTGCAGTCATATTGTCAGCATAGAGTGAAGACCGGTTCCTTTTGACATTCAGGGTACTGCCCTGTCTAAGCACTATACATGTCCGTGCCTGCATATGGGTAATTCCAGGAAGTAGGGGTCCATAAATGTGACATTTTTGTGTCCCTGTTACACCTGACCTTTGTCATTTGACATGGAAATATCACTGTATATTGATTTCAAACTATTACTATTTGTTTGGCGGGTAATTTGCATTAATTCATCACTCTTGGGAATTAGAAAAAGTGTTCTAAACTTATAAAATCGTATGTCAGATATGACAGGGACTCACAAAAAATGGACCCCTAATTCTGGAATTAACCATACGTAAATTACCAACAAATCAATATCACAATCTTACCTGCACATATGGTACATGTACCTGCACCTTCTGAGAGTACACTCCAGCATAGCAAGATCCCATCTTTCTCATCAGAGTCTTTCAAGCCAGAAATCAAAGTCGCAAGACATTCGTCACACTCAATTCAATTTTTTTTAAATCCACCCAGTATGAAATATCACCCTGTTGTACTAATGAACAGAAGAACACTAAAGGCTGCACTTCTTAGTGTCTGTGGGATGACTTTTTCCAAAATCAGGGGCTTCAACCAATCACCATCCAATTACGACACACTGAGCAGGCAGTTCCATATTTGAATTCTTTTTTTTTTCCGCCCAGCTGAAGTTACAATAATAGCATCACACAGGGAGTGCCACATACATGGTTTACAATTCAATGGCTGATGGAAGAGTGCCTTCCATCAGCTCAACCTGATGAAAACATTCCCTTGAAGCACTGTAGCACAGGGAATTCCCAGGGCTCAAAAGACCCAGTTCTTGTTAATTGATGACAAGCTCAAACAGCGGCACTAGAGGGAGATCATGTGGATGCCAGAAGTATTGCAGAGAGGGACTACACAAGGGATCATGCAACCTCACAGCAAGAAATCACGGTGATGCCTAGGTGTATAGCCAGCTAGGTACATGTACTGTATACAGTAAGTGGATGACGTGGTCAGTCAGTCATGATAAAGCATTGATGTTGCAGGCAAAATCCAGCTCATAAATTCAGCCAATTGTTTCCAAAGTATGCAAGTTGCAGCTCAAAATCAATTTAACCACCAATTTCAGTGCCAAGACCTCTCTCTACATAAAAGTGACAAACCAAAATCACTCTCCACTTATTCAAAATTTATAAACAATTTTTTCTTAAATCAGCATTTAAGGCTGAAGGCCTTGGGGGCAGTCAGTGACAGGCTACCAGTTTCACTTCACCTTATGGTCAGGGTTACGATATTTCAACCCCTTGAGAATACAAAAAGGACCTGCATGTACGGCAATTCTTTCCCAGCAGGAAGTCAAGCTGAAACACACGCACAAACGTGATCAACTGACGTGCCAGTACGTTTGTGTAAAATGTGAAAAATAAATGCATGCAGGAACTTAACAAACCATTTGCGCATACATACACCACAATGCATTGATTTCTACAGTCAGAGGGGTCGTGACATTTACATGTATAAGGTAATCAGCAACCTCAAAGAAAATTTATAACCAAAATCATGCTATCATGGGATTTTCTTTACTGTTTATTATTGAACACGAGTCAGATTTTACAATTTTGGAAATTTGATTACCATATGCTGTGTCTCTCAGAAAATAATGTAAACAATTCATAACAAGTTTACTATTTTAATGACTAAAAATCTTTCAGCCCAGACTTAAATTACTATTCAAATGATACTGTATTCCATGGCCCTTACAACCCTCATTAATATAATGTATCTTGTTCGGAGAGGAAAACTCAGTTGTAAAATCCTTTTCCTTTGAACTGTCTGGGTTCAGATTTAAGTATGGTTTCCTATAAAATTGGCCTTGAGTGGTATGCCGTTTATGGTACAGAAATCAGTATCAAACCCCATCATGTCAAAGTACACATTTTGAGCAGGGTGAAGAACAAAGTGTGTTACCCTAAGCTGTATGAAATGTGCTTACAGTCAAGCATCAATTAATGTTTCTAAGCAACACCCTTCCAAGAAGGCAGTTGCTTTGGCAACTGCTGGTTTTTCATTAAGTCCCATCGCTGCAACAGACAAGTGGCCTCCACCACAAATCTGTAATTTCCCAATATCAATGCGTGCGGTCCATAGGGTCTCGCATTACGCAGACCACTTAAAAGAAGGCGCAGGTCTCGCCTTCAAACTGACACTGTTGACAAGGAAGGCTCCAACCGTAATCCATTCAAATGCAAATTTAGGGGGGGAAAGCCATTTGCATTCAGAGCTCAGAAGGGCTCCAGGTTTTCTCAGGGAAATCAATTTTTTTCAATACGGTAAAAAACTATAAGTCAGGAATTATGATTGGTTGGGGAGTTCCACTGACTGCTTTCTCACCACTTATTTCAAGATATCACATCATTTAGTAATGCATGGCTTCCCTGTTTAGAGATTTCACATTTTCAATTCAAGAGGTTTACCCTCCAGACTTCCACAGATAACAAAATGAAATTCAAGGGAATCTAATTAAAGCAGAATAAAGGTGCTCACTCAAACAAGCCTCTCAAATAATTTTTGATGTACATGTACACATTTTAAAAGAAGCTCCATATCAAGACAGACTTGTCAGCAATTTCTTTGAGTCATGGAATTGAAGATGTTTGTGTACGTTACACTCCGGGGAGCAATTTTCTTTTGAGTGTAAAGAGAACTTAACTCTTTCCTCACAGCAATCTGATACCAGTACATGTTCATGGGATATCAGCTGACTCAGGTTAATACTAGTATTTGGTACAGATGAAAAGATGATGTTGGTATGTGTAAAAAATGTTCACATTTTAGCAATGACTGTCTTATTGATTCCATCAGGCAAAGCAAACATTAATCAGATAATCATTTGAAATGTCTTGGTTACCTCATTCCTAACTGTGCTTCAACACACTCCACTGAAAAAGAAATTCACACAGATTAAAACACCCTGCATATCCTTACACATGAGAGCCACATGCATTAGCAAACTCTGACATTTACACAGGTGCAGCTACATGTACTGTGGCCACGTTTCTAGTGCTCCTGATCGTGTTAAGAAATCCAGCTCTCCAATGGTGGTAAGTGGCATGAACAAAGAGTAGAACCGCTGCATAAGCACCCGACCACGAAGCAATGTAGGAGGATGAGGCTGCCCCACTCAATTTTGAATGATCTTGACAGGTTATATGGTGCTTTTTTGTGTAAATCAATCCTCGCCACATAATTCACATATACATTTATATCAAACACAGGTATTTTAGGTATCAGCTTATCAGCGTTTTAGACACATACCGGTTTATGCAAACAAGTACAACATGTAGACAGAGTTGGAAGACTGACAAAATGGCTTCTTAGTTCCAAGACGGGATGAGTTTGGGCCGATCAATAATACCTGTTGGTCCATGCAGATCAACCTGAGGCAGGCTCGAGTGATGCCGACACTGGTTAGTGGTTACACTTTATTCATCATCATCGCCTCTCTAACACATGACTGGATTTTTGTCCAGGATTGTACAACCCTTTCCTTTAAGCCATTTTAGTCTAAAATAGTTTGCACATTCTCGTCTAAAGAATGGATATTGTAAGTGTATATGAACACATGGGGTGAGGATTTTAAGTTGGGGTTAAGCATCATAACAAAGAACAGTAAAATACATGCATTTGGAGTCATCTCTTTAGCATGGTACAAAAAGGTTTTCATTTGTAATGGCAAGTAATAAATATAAAGTATAATGTGTGTGGAACCTTGTGGCCTTATGGTTAGGGTTTGTAATTCTCGATGATACCTGTAGAGTTGAGAGATCAAATCTAGTGGCTTGTCACATGTTGCGAACCTAGGCAGGACACTTTAATAATACCTCTATGTGCCTCTCTCCATCCAGGTGCATACCATGAAAGCAAAGATAGTCACCCCCGTTTGTCAAGCCATTGGCACCTGAAAATGCCCGTACAACACAATGACATTACTGGTACATACAGTATTTGGTAATGAAATACTAAATATAGTATGTAATAACATTTGAAAATATGCCATTTGACCATCATGAATATTCTTGCAAAACAGAGTTGACAGGCTTCAATTTTTTGTGTCTCTTACTTGAAAGTTTTTGTATTAACTCATGAATGCATCACCCGATGCAATATACATACAAATAAATGTAACAGACAAAAGGGAAGACACAATAAAGGAAAAATCAGCAAAACACCTACCGGTACACCTTCAACATACGTATGTGAAGTACTTAGTCAAGGTCTATGAATCCTCTGCACCCTGGTATCAAGTACTTACATGTACCAATGAGTCAAGGTCGATATACTACCACTTGTCATTTCCTGTTTTTCACTTTTTAAAACATTTGATCTTCATTTAGTTTACCAGGATAGCTCTTCCTTTTACGAAGTTCATGTGACTTTACAACAGTGGCTGGCATTGTTTTTTGCAAGTCCACTCTTTCCTCCAGTAATTATACCAAACTGCAAGGTGTAAACTGAAGCACAGATACAAAGAGTTTTAATGTAGCCAACTGCACTTACATAAGTGAGTATCAATTTAGGAGAAATGAACAACATATGGAATGAAAAATAATACGGACTGACATTTCCTCTGAATGTGCATACATACCATGCACGTGCAGCTTGCAAGTCGACATACATGTGTAAGGCTGGGTGACTCCTCATTTGTGATGATTACCAACATAAAGTGTTGATAATAACACCTCACAACAGATGGCAGCACTTGAGGTTTGGCTTCATGGTACAATATATGTACCTCATCTAGGCAAAGTGTTCCTTTTAAGTTCAAACCAAGCTGATTTCTCAAACAAAATTCAGATAGTGCTCTTGCCAGAACAAGCCCTTGATGCGATAGAAGAATCTACATGTACACCTATGTATGATGCTCAACATTAGGTGGTTACATGGACCGTTAAGAAGACCTGAGTTATAGTGACAGATCTCAAGCATCAATATACACCAGGGACGGAAACTGACTGTATATACAAGTGCGTGTATCCCACCGCACAGCAGGAAAGCAGTACATATCGGTTGTACATGTACATATATGTGTATAAATTTCTGCTGCTGATTCATGTAAATGTAAGTATGTACATGGTAGGTCAGCCCCAGTTCTTTCACACAGTCAAGCATTCTCACTGATGAGACCCCTGGGATGCTGAAAGCAACAGCACAGTTCAAGAATGCTACATATCCATCTCGGCCCCATCTCCAGGCATCCCAACAAGTGCCTCTAAGAAATTGGCCAATCTCCTGAGGCCTTTGCGGGGCAGTAAGAGGCCTCATTCCTAAAGCACATATTGCTTATTACCGGTACCAGATTCTTTCTACTCATTTTGAACATCACTCCTCATACTGACTTTGGTGAAGTGTCTACGGTACTTGACAGTGCATTTTTTTTTTTACATTTAAAATGAAAGTATGCAATTACAAGGAAACTTGACGGAAAATTATGAAACTGACCAGCCCACTTCTTCGAGTTGCTAAGGTCCCAGAGATATTACAATATATGATCCAAAGCCAGAAAAGGCAACAGACTTACAGCTTTATTTTGCGCTTGGTGGCACTTAATGCCCCCGTGACTGCAGTAAAAGTGCTCAAAAGAATATAGTCCACTTAGAATTTTGGTAAATGAAGTAAAGAATCCCTTTTTTTTTCTCATTTTCAATGATGTTTGCAAAATCAAACCTCTCACTAGTGAGCAACTCCTGAGGCATGCCTGAAACTGGGCCTGGCCAATGACTGTCAGACTAGTCACCTTGGAGTACTGATGACAAAAAACCAAAGTCATTGTGAAGAAAAAAGTGAAAAGTCTCACCAATCTAAAGGAAATCCTGACTCCAGAAATAGTGGATTGAATGCACCCAACTATTTCTGACAATCATCATCATTAACAAATGGACGTGGCTCTGGAGACACTGGTACATGTAATGTGTATGTACACACAGCAGTACCATGGGTAAGTTTGAGCAACAATCACTTGTTCACCACTGGATAACTTCCCCTGGTACCTAGGATATACATGTATGTTGTGTACAGGTTATCAGGGAAAATCAACCAATGGTTAACAAATAGCCATTGCTCAAACCTGCCAAGGATTGTACTTTACGTACACTGTAGCTACACGTACAGTGTACAAGTATTGTAAGCCTAGAACATGTACCAGTTAAGATGATGCACAATGTACAAGCTTCATTCTCCATGTTTTATATTTGCAATGACCTACAGTTTTTTTAAATGTTCTGAAATGGATGGCCTGTATTAAAATGCATTCATGAACAAAAATCTTCACACTGTTCAATTTGATAGTAGGCTCGTGTGCATGACCACAGAGAGCAGTTGAAGAGGCCAACTTGATCAAGGGGCAAATTTGAAGAAGAGCAAGGAAATTCTCTGTTAATGTTATTGGGAGGAATTTTACTCTGCAGTACACAACTTCACACTGGACTGACCCTACATGTACATGTACCTCCAATGTACACGGACTTGTATTATTGCACAACAGGGAACAGAACCACGAAGGGAACAAAATATTTGTTCATGTCCTTGGTGGTCATCAATCTATTGTTCAGTTCTATCCTCTGTGCAAAGGCAGATCTGGGGGAAAGGTGCCATGCCCCTCCCAACAAGAGCCACCAAAGGAGGGGCAAGGAAAGTGATTTCTCGATTTATTTCCTTTTTCATCATTGCGAAAACATGTAAAAAGCACCAAATTTAGCCTCAAGCCAAAGAAAGGCTACAAAAGGTTAAACAGAAAATTTTTGAAACATTTTTGCCCTCCCCCCACGGAACTTTTTTGAGGGGCAATGAAAAATCTGGTTGCACACACCTACATGTAAAAGAAATCGCACCCACACAAATCACCACAACTCTCTGAACTTGCAAGTTCTGAGCACTGAATACATGTCGTCAATGCTGCCTACCAATCAGCTTGCAGGCTTGTCTGATAAATCCATTCACCTGTTTCTACATCGCACACATTGATAACTTGATTAATTACCTCCTTAGGATACCTTCAACACCATTACCGCACCACTTGAAGGAGATCATCCCCATATCAGATTTCAATAATTCACTACATCATGCCCTTTTCTGTCACTTCATAACTCAAAAATTTATGCACGTATGCACTCTACTCATGCACTACCGATGACCATGTTACTTGCTTTAAGAAATATGGCTTACAACATTGGGTGACTTAATGTGCATTACTGTTAAATTACCGTAATCAATCTGAAACTGTATGAGAGAGCTGGGAACATACTGCATTAGCTTAGCCTACAGCCAGCCACAGCTGGTTGATGCTGCGGCATACGTTGAAATCACAACTACCGTAACGTTTTTGTTTAACTGACCATTGTGAGACGAGATGACATTCAATTACTGGTAATGCACTTTGATTGATTAGAAATCGGTTATTCATCTCATTGTATTTAATGAGGACGCACATTAAGCATGATTGATAAAAACAGTGAAGGAAGATTACCACTGAGAAAACCACTACCTACCGGTTCATGTTTTGTTTCCTTAATACATTTCTAATGGTACCTACCTCATGTTGACATCCTTCCTCTGCTATGGTGCTGTCCTTACTGAACGCTGAAACGACAGACAAAACCAGGTGAAAAAAAATTATTCAGCATTCAACTGCTGAGCCAAGGACAGATAAATTACCGCCACATCCCCAGCAAAGGGTGATCAGGCAGAAATTTATGCTCGGGGATGACACGAACGTCACGGACCACTGCCATTCCATGAAGCAATGCGCCCAGAGTAGCGGCAAGAAGCAGATGACAACTTCCCATCTCCACTTCCCCTTCAAGCAGATGGTGAATCCATGACTGCTTAACAAGTTTGGCATGTGAGAAATTGGATTAATCTGGTAGCTGCGCATGTATGGTTAACAAGTTTCTTGTTTCATGAATGAAAAACTGCCAGGGGGGTCACAATGGGGAAACAGTCTTCAACTTTGACTGTTACACCACAATACAAAATTTCCATTTCACTGGTGCACAGTGAATTTGGAAGAAACATTGGTTACAGATGCTCAAGCTTTGAAATGCGGCATGCATTCTGGAGATTATCAGGGGCCCACAAGAAATGCTAAGCATGTTACAAATATGTAACTTCAAATTTCGGCAATGCTCTTTCAGAAAATGACATGATTGTGTAATCCAAACAATCCAAGCATTTTTACAAGTCATTCAAGAGTGGATGGTCCACAAAAATGATCATTCTCCAATATTTCATTTACAAATGAAAATCATAATACAAGTAACTGCCTGTTATGGAACCCATGTTGGAACATTTTGTGTACTCATGGCAGACGTTACCAACTGTACAATGTATTTTTTTCGGGGGTGCAAAGTCAGCCCAAATTTAAGTGTAATTTTACCTGAACGTTTTACTGACCTCTTCCTTTTCTGTATTGTTATGCTCTCAGCTCAAGAGGTCCTTAGACAGGGGCCCTTTGATAGGTAACTTCCATAAAAAGAGAAGATCTCCAGAAGTCAAGCACATGAGCTTTTATCACAATACACTGGCTACAGTCCTCAAAAAGCAGCATTTACAGTGACAATATGCACTCGGCAGCTTAACTGAGTGAGGTGTGCTGATTATAGTACGATACAAAAATTGCAACTTAAAATTTGGATAAACAGTTGCAATCTGTTCCATCTTCTCCTCAAACTGATGGTGAGATGCAACGTCATGATAAACCCACTTAATCCTGTCTGATCCATATGCGGAGTAGGAAAGCTCCACTATACTCAATTGGCCAATGATTCGGGCTCTGGGCAAGACATCAGGCTGGGTGGCTAATGCTGTGGTTGTGAGTACGAAAGTGATATATGGTGCTTATGTTTCATGGAGGAGGGTAGGAGCTGGCCAGCCAATTTGTATACGTAGCTGCAGGTACGCCATCCCACATGCAAAATGGATTAATGATACTAGGAAATTACATTGCGTGCACTTGGGAATAAGCTTGTTGCATGCATGTTTGGATGGTTTCTGTAATGGCATATATATTGTAAATATATGCAACAATATTGCATTAGATTTGAAACATTTCAAAAGTGATTTTTTGAAAAAGGCAAAATAAAATGAAAACATTTCAACTGAACATATTTCAGAGTTCAATGCATTAACTTGCAAAAACACTGTGCTGAATTTTCATATGATCATAGAATTTCTGGGCACTAATTATTTTCAGGAGTGACGACAATGTACAAAGAATGGTTTCCATATAATGTGCATGTACATGGACTCTCATATTTAAAAGTCACACAGAATACTAATGTACTGGTACAGTATTGTACAAATTCGGCAGGCATCACTTGCCACATATACAATCACAAGAGGGCGTTCTTTCATTGTCAGAAAGATGCAAATTGAAACATGTCATGTAATTTGAAGCACAACACATGAATGTGTATTCATGATTTAATTTCATGTTTCATTTAATTTCATATTCATGTTAATTTCATGATTTTTTCCAACTTCGATGAGTCATGATACCGTAAACACCAATATTTATGAAACTGCTCAATAGTTCAAGTGGACAATAGTGAAACGAAATAGTCATGCATCCCAATTATTTTCAAGAGTTAAAAGAGAAACTGTAAGGGGGAAACATTGCACATATGCAATGCTCTGCATCAACTACAGGGTCTGGGATCACATACCCTGTTCCAACATCTGTGCCTTCCAGGTATCTGTATTTGAAATTTCAATTTTTATGAATACTTGTACATGAACATGTTCATGTCTGTACACATTTGACACTGAAAGAGATTGCCCAAAAGCCGGTTCCCTCCAAAAAGAGTGCATCCACTGTGTGCCCTCTCCCCGTCTGATGGTGAGACCCCCTTCCCTTAGGTCGGCCACTGTATTTAACCGAGAGTAAGACTGGATACTGTAGAGAGAAGCGCTCAGAGGTGCAACAGATCTAGCACTATGCCTCTGAGAGCAAGAGATGTAAAAGGTATCAGACAGTTTATACCGAAAGTCTTTCTGCGGGTAGAGATATGAAACCCAATGGATACATGTACATGTACGTGAGTGAAAAGTATCCATGGTAACATCAAACAGTTTCAGGGAATTTTAGAGCCCAATTCAATTCCAAGCACAGGAGTGGACAACCATACAGTTATGGGGCTTAGTAATGGCAAAAATATAATGTACAATGTATGTACATGCTCTTTTTAAACCATTTTCTGAGTGTCACAAGTTATCAATGTAATTTGATTTTTTTTGTGATTAACAGTGTGTCTACAGCATGTCTGCTACTCAATGTCTTGAACAAAATGTCAACTTGAATTTTCCAGGTTTTGTTTAAAATAATGCAAAGAATGTACATCTCTGTAAAAAAATCCTTTGAAAATCCTAACTTTCTCTGTGCTTAGGCTATAACCTGGCCATGCACTTTCATTATGTATTTTGGTTTACCATGCAAAAGTGACAGACAAGTCTAACCTGTTCTGCAAAGCTTACACTCATCACATTTAAAAACAGAAACATGTCAGAGAAAGTGTGGAAGTATTGTGTCAATCCTTACTGCAGTGGCTTGATGAAATCCAACTTTTAACTTGACATGAATTAGCAGAAAATGACTTGTCACTTGATCTGGGAAAAATATTGACTTGTGACTGGACTTGTAACAAACTGAATTGTGACTTGACTTTACATGGAAAATTGTATCATTGACAGCTGTCACTACATATTTACAGGACATCATGCCCATTTTGACCAAAGCAATTGAAAAAAAAACCTGTTCAGGAAGAACACATTACCCACAGATCTACAAGTAAGGTGGAACTCATGGGTGCCATGTAAATAGAGGGCGCTATTCAACTTAACCATGAGGGCAACTGGATGGCACTGTACTAAAGGATTTTAGCTAAGTTCCCAGCAAAATGTCTTGGACATTAGAATTAGCATTTAAGTGTAAGCGGCCAACTATGGGAACCAGATCTTTTAGATCCATCCATAATTCCGCACGCACATTTGATGTAAGTATATGAGGGTCGGAATATGTCATCAAAAAGTCTGAGGTTCAGGCTCAAAGTCTGAGAACTTTCCCAAACATTTTACAACAGAAAGCCAGAAAGGGGACAAGCCAAGTGACTTCGGTTACCACCACAAGGCCTAATTGGTCTGCAAAAATGACTTACCATTGAGAGTGAACAAAAATTAAGGCCATGGTGGTATCCGGTGGTGTGTTTAGTGCACATTATTAATTAGGTACTGGCGAAAAATCCAGTTGGGTGTTCTGTGCGCAAATCTCCTTGTATTTTGGGGACTTCCTTATGAGTGCTGAGAGTCCTCAAAAATCCAGACAACATAGGCCTACATGTACAGTGCATATAAACTTCAGATGTCTAGAGGCCTGATGTTCCATTTGACCTCGGAAAGAAGACAAGAGACTGCTTGTCTTTGAGGTCTTGGGCATCATATCTCACCTCTACCCACACTGACCCAGGTTAACTTCCAAACCAACCCACTCCAGACAGAGCTCACAAAATGCATTTACTCCCAATCTGAGTTTGCAGGTTGCAACTACTCCTACTGTTCTCTGGGGTTTTCCCCTCCCACTTCTTGAAACATAAATTTCCGCCCTCATTTCCTTGATTTACCCTCGGGACCCCAGGCAGAATAGTGCTGCAGGCTTAACAACATTCCCAGGATGACATAAATAAGTCTGGTTGTCATTTAGAGTGCTCTTAATGGACCTTCATCCTTATTTATGTTGGAAAAGCTCCACAAATCTTGCGACTAAAATCTTTGGTGCAGATGTTTTATACACGAAGTCGACCCACTTTTGAATTTTGGCCATGGGAAGTTTCGAGTAAATGCTGCAGTAAGCCGGTGTGTTGGAAGAAAATGAATGCAAGAGGCATCAACCTTCTAGCATTACACGTATATTACTCTCCCTTGTTCACCACTACAGGCAGTGCCATACAGGTAGGCACTGCAGCTGGGAAACAGGATAATGATAGTGAATTCTGAAAAGAAGCAGCGTGTGGGAAAAACAAAGTTTAAAAAATGTCATCCAATGTTGGGAATATATAAGCTTGTAACCTCTGAAGGAAGTAGTGCGGCCACTGAACAGCACATAAATCCTTCTAGCCTTTGGGCTTAAGTTGTGGTCGAGTCCATCACTGGTCTTTTTTTAAATCCTTTCACGAGTCAATTAACAAGAGCAGTCACATGCACGTGAGGTGAACCATGGCAAAGGCATGCTTTTGTCACAGTTCATTTAAACAGCCTGTGACTTGACTTTCAACTGGATAACTTATGCTGGATTTGTGGTGGACTTGATGGGACTTGTGTTGAACTCAACAAGACGTACTTCACTGATTTTGGCTGCGAGAAAAATATATGGTCAAATTCTGAATTTAACAGACTGTATTTCTTTAACTTGCGATAAGACAAAAACACAGACATCCGACACCGTAACAAAAATGGTGGGTACTCAGTTAGTCCACTGGGAAGAGGTTACATGTATTATTCAA